AAATATGTATACAATCCAACCTAGCACCTCCACACACACACACCAAGGATGTCTGTTGGGCCTTTTGGGTTGAGAGTAGCTTTTCTCTCTGGTCTTAGGACTATGACAGTATAAGATGAAGCTGCAGGAGGCTTCCCTGAAGAATGATCCTATCTGCAAACAAAATCAATAAAGAAGAAAGGAGAACTAAGAGATAAAAAGAAACCCAGTCCAGGTAACATCCCCTAAAATCCTGGATGCAGCCATCCCTGAAGCTATCTACTTGCAAGAGTCAATACATTTCCTTTAAAAAAAAAAATTCCTTCCTCCCCTACGTGCCCACCATCCCAAAGCAATTTGGGTAGGATTTTACATTACTTGCACATAGAAAGTTCTAATTAAGACAACAGATGAGGGGTGCGTAGGTGGCTCAGTCTGGTAAATGTCCCACTCTTGATTTCAGCCAAGGTCTCAGGGTTGTGAGATCAAGCCCTGCAAAGAGCTCTAAGAACAGTGTGGAGTCAGCTTGAGATTCTCTCTCTCTTGTTGCTCCTCCCCACTTTGCAAGTACACACTCTCTTTTAATCGTTTTCTCTCTCTCTCTCAAAAAAAAAAAAAAAAAAGACAACTGATAAGAATTTCAGTTGGGACTAATGCAATTTAAAAACATATATGAGGGGGATCCCTGGGTGGCTCAGCGGCTTGGTGCCTGCCTTTGGCCCAGGGTGCAATCCTGGAGTCCCAGGATCAAGTCCCGCGTAGGGCTCCCAGCATGGAGCCTGCTTTTCCCTCCTCCTGTGTCTCTGCCTCTCTCTCTGTCTAAAATAAATAAATAAATAAATAAATAAATAAATAAATAAATAAATAAATAAATAAATAAATAAAAATAAAAAATAAAAGCATATATGAGAGGGATGCCTGGGTGGCTCAGTGGTTGAGCATCCCAACTCAGAATCCGGGATCAAGTCGCACATCGACTCCCTGCATGGAGCCTGCTTCTCCCTCTGCCTGTGTCTCTGCCTCTCTCTCTCTCTGTGTCCCTCACGAATAAATAAATAAATCTTTAAAAAATAAAAATAAAAACATATATAAGGAAGGAAGGACTTTGAGATGCAGAATTTCATCTATAATTAAGTGAAGAACATGAAGGAACTCAGAGTAATAATAAGCAGGCTGGGCCTGGAAAGGAAAGTGACACCACTCTCTAGAAATTCCAGAGTTTCTCCACTGGAATAATTATTCCAACAAATATGTACTGAGTGCCTAGTACGTGCTTGGTACTGTTCTAGGCACTGAGAATATTAAAGTGAACAACAAAAAAAGAGGACAAAATCCCTGCCCTCTTGGACATAATTCTAGAATGTTGAAGGCAGGAGAACCAATTTAAAAATTATGTGGGACTCTGAAAGGTGATAAAGGCTACAGAGAAAAAGAAAGAAGAGGGAACAGGGAATGCCAGGTCACTTTTGAAATTTTTGCAAGAGCCCGTGAAGCAGGGCTTATTCATCCTAGCTTCAGCACAAAGAGGTTAAGTGACCTGCCCAAGGTTGTCAACTACCAAGTGGCAGAATCAGAATCAAAGAATAAGGGTGGGGGGTGGGGGTGGACAGGGTGGGTGTGGGTGGGTTGTTATAGGACCTTTGGTCTCTATGGCAGGTTGGGCCACCTCCTAGCCCAGGGGTCTTTTCACTGGCAAATCCACTCATCTTTCACTAGGCTTCATTATTATTATTGACCTCTTAGCAGGTTTGACATTACTGAGCATCCTTCCTTTTCCAAAACTTTTTCATTTCAGTGACGTTGCTGTTCTAGTTCTGTTTGTCTTCCCAATTAGTTCTGCCCCTTTTGACTTTTCTTCTTTTTTTAATATTTTATTTTTATTTTTATTGTTTTTGGTTTTTTTGTATTTTTATTTTTTTTTAAGATTTTATTTATTCATTCATGAGAGACAGAGAGAGAGAAAGAGAGGCAGAGACACAGGCAGAGGGAGAAGCAGGCTCCATGCAGGGAGCCCGACACGGGACTCGATTCCTGGTCTCCAGGATCATGCCCCAGGCCTAAGGCAGGCGCCCAACCGCTGAGCCACCCAGGAATCCCTGATTTTATTTTTATTTATTTTTAAGATTTTATTTATTTATTTGACAGAGAGAGCACAGCAGGGGGAGTAGAGGGGAGGGAGGAGCAGGCTTTCCACTGAGCAAGGGAGCCCCATGCGGGGCTCACTACCTGAGCTGAAGGTGGATGCTTAACCAAATGAGCCACCCAGGCACCCCTAAAGATTTTATTTGTGAGTAATCTCTACATCCAACATGGGGCTCAAAATCACAACCCCAAGATCAAGAGTTGCAAGCTCCACTGACTGAGCCACCAGGTGCCCCTTGACCTCTCTTATTATTATTCCTCTCACCACTTGAATATGGGTCACCAACCACAACTCCTCATGTTGAGGGAACACCACACATTCAGATCATAGCCCTTGTGAGTTGTGCAGTGCACAGCTTAGGCAGCTGTATAAAACAACCCTATACCTTTTGTACTTCTTGTTTCTGTTTTTTTTTTTTTTTAATTTATCTAAGAGAGACACAGAGAGAGAGGTACAGACATAGGCAGAGAGAGAAGCAGGCTTCCTGTGCGGAGCCCAATGCGGGACTTGATCCCAGGACTCTGGGATCACAACCTGAGCCAAAGGCAGATTCTCAACCACTGAGCCACCCAGGTGCACCCCTGCACTTCTCTATCTACTGATTTCAGTTCCCTTTCCACAGATTTTCCCAAAACTTTATGGGTAGTTTCTGCCTTGCACCATTGGAGAATATGGTAGAGCAGTTTGCATCTCCCACCCACCCATCCTTGCAAGAAGCTCTTTACCTCTCACTGTCCACCAGGTATCAGTGGGGCACACAGTGGATATTTCGTTGGCACCACCAGGGTGCAAAACCAAGAATAAAGGGAGCCCTTGGTAGATGGTCTCTATTGGTAATTATTGTCTGGTGAGACACTATTGTTAGATATCAATTGCACTGATGTTTAAATAATTTCTGGATTTAGTTAGAAGCAAGTTGTAAGTTTTTTATAATTCTAAAAGCTACAATTTAGTACATTTTTGTAAGCCAAGCTGAGTGGGCATATTATTTCATTCAAACCTCACAACTGCGTGGAACAGACATTACAATATTCATCTGTCTAAGAAGATTCAAAGAGGTCCTGTGATTACTTACCATATAATTAATAACTGGTAGAAATGGAATTTAAACCAGGTCCATTGGCCTTCAAAGACCATGTTCCTTCTGGCTTTGTAAGGTGCCTCCCAAGTATCACCTAGCACCATGCTGAGTACAGGATAATAATAATTAAAACTATTTCAGGGGCGCCTGGGTGGCTCAGTGGGTTGAGTGACCGACTCTTGACTTTAGTTCAGGTCATGATCTCAGGGTTCTGAGGCAGAGCTCCGCATCAGGCTGAGGTCAGTGCAAAGTTCACTTGAGAGTCTCTCACCCAGAAAAAAAAAAAAGAGTCTCTCACCCTCCCTCTGCTCCTCTCCGCTTGCTCATGCTTTCTCTCTCTCTCTAAACCCCCCCCAAACTATTTCAATATCGTTTTTAAAAATCTTATCCTATGCACAATTCCACCTACCAGTCAATAATAACCCCGAGAGGCACCTGCATGATTCGGTAGGTTAAATTAAGTGTCTGACTTGATTCCCCCTGGGGTCATGATCTCTAGGTCCTGAGATGAGTCAAGCTCAGGGCTACCCACTCACACAGGAGCCTGCTTGAGATTCTCTCCCTCTCCCTCTGACCCTCCCAGCACACACTCAATCCCTCTCTCTCTCAAATAAATAAGTACCCTGACAGGTAGGTAATAGTGTTATCCTTAGAAAAACTGAATAACAGAAGATAAAATGTTTTCAGAATCATTTATATATAAAGGAGAGCCAGGATCCAAATACAAGTCTCCTCTAGGTACCTCATTCTCTGAGCCATGCTCTACCTCAGTAAGTGTTGTTGGCTACAGACCACGTGAACTGGAGGCTGAAGGGTTAAGGACAATGCCTTTCTCCTTTTTCCTGCAACAGCCTGTAGCCTCTAGGGCACTGAAGTGTTTGTTCATTCATGCAATAGTCACTGAGCACCTAGTATGTGCCAGACGCTCAATGTACAACAGTGAACAAAGGCTGTCCCAGTTCCTGAACTCCCAGAGCTTGCATTCTGGTGGAAGACACAAACAAATAATTTCATACAATAAGTGCTACCGGACATTGTGGTGGAAATAAGGGGGGGGGGCATTTTTTTTTTAAAGATTTAATTTATTTATTTATGAGAGACACAGAGGAAGAGAGGCAGAGACACAGGCAGAGGGAGAAGCAGGCTCCATGCAGGGAGCCGGATGGGGGACTCGATGCGGGACTGGATCCGGAACTCCAGGATCACGCCCTGAGCCAAAGGCAGATGCTCAACTGTTGAGCCACTCAGGCGTCTGGGGTGGGGGGTGCGGGGCGCATTGAAATAGAGGTCAGAGAAGCCATTTCTGAGAAGGTACCATTAATTGAATGAATGAATGAATGAATGAATGAATGAATGAATAAATGGCAACCCCCTGATGGATTCATTGTTCGATATCAGGCTTAACTAGTTTCCGTCGGCCGTTAGGTTGTTTATGGTTCTGAATACCCTTGTACCTTATGTTGCTGATGCCCAAAGGGCAAGTGTAGAGGCACAACGCAACAGAGAACTCTTTTCAACTCTTCCATTCCTCTGACCTTGCCTTTGCTGTCAGGGTCACAACCCCCCATCGCCACGCCCATTCTCCTCCTCCGGACGCTCCGGCCTGCGCAAGCGCAAGAGAAACTGCCGTTCCGAGTGGAGAGCGCGGATCCCACCCCAGGGCGCATGCGCGCCCGCCCCGTAAGCCCCGCCCCGCCCCGCCCCGCCCCGCCCCCTGCGCCGGCTCGCGAGCGCCTGCCGTTTCTCGGGGCGGGGCGGGGGGCAGGGCCTGGGCGGGGAGGCGCGCGCCGCTGCGTGCGTGCGCGCGCGCCGCGGGCGGGCCAGTGGAGCCGGCGGCCCTGGCACGTGATCCGGGAGCGGCTCGGTCGCTTAGTGGCTCGGTCTGTCTGTCCGTCCGCGGGTGCCATCATGGCGGACGCAGCCAGTCAGGTGCTCCTGGGCTCCGGCCTCACCATCCTGTCCCAGCCGCTCATGTACGTGAAGGTGCTCATCCAGGTATGAGTCGTCGCCATCCCCTTCCCCGCCCGGCGCCTCGTTCGGTCGCCGCTGCCCTCGGCGCTTGGCGATCGGCTCCAGCCTTCCCGGGCCTTCAGTCCCCTGAGATGCTCCTTCCCTGCTGCTGCCCCTTCCCTCCCCGCGGGCACAGCTTGCACTGCCCGCGGCTCCCGTTGTACTGCCCGTGGGCTTTCCCCAGGTCTCGCCTCCCTGCCTAAGCCGGGAGGCCGGATCCTTTCCCCGCAGCCAACTGCCGTCCTGCTCTGCCCATCCCGGTGGCTCCCGTGAACTTTGTTTTTTCTTCCCTGAGGTTAGTCCTGGCCAGTTGCCACCACAAGCTTCCCGGCCCTCCCCTCCTGCCTCTCAGAAATCAGCATTCACCTCCTCCTCCGCCCCAAACGCAGGACATGAGATCTGTTAAAAACCAATTTGAAATTCGAGGGGAGCCAACACTTTATTAGCCTTTTTTTTTTTTCATTTTTATTTGCTACTGTTACTGCTGCTGTTCTGTTCTGAGATTTTAGCCCCAGATACCCAGGTAAACACAAGAAGCTCATTCAGAAGTGAGAATGGAGTGGTTGCTGATTCAAATTTCAGGTTTCACACTGAGCTCACTGAGCGCTCTCCAGCCACAGCCCATGTGGCTCATGACAGTGAAAATCACATCTGTCTGGGCTGGGAATAGTTCAGATGGAAGAGTTCAAGCATTTATGTTAGTTTCTGATCTACTGTAAAATAATCTGAAGCCGTATTTTATATTCACAGGCAAGTAAGTCAGGTTTTAACTGATGATACACTATTTGATAGCATTTTTAATTGCCTTTCTAGAATTCCCTGTGCTGGGCATGCCATTCATTTTTTTAGACCTTTGTTGAGCGTTGACATAATTATGTCATGCGTTGTACCAAAAAAGGAGCAGTTGTTAGAACCCCTGTCCTTCCTTTCCATCGGAAATATGCAAGACGCTAAAGAGAGCCACATTTCTTATTCAGCAGTTGATGCTGCTCCAAATTATGTGTTACTTGGTTGACCCATTGGATTCAGGTTCCATATGTAAAAGGCTACTATATTTTAACTAAGAACAAAACTTTGAGATGTGCTGTGACATCTAAAAGAGAATAGGCACATTTGTAGCTAGATCATGTCTTGAAGCGACATTTTGCAGTCAATCTCATAGGAGCCCATTACTCAGTACTTCTATGTATTGCCAAGTGTCTTAAGGGTTTTGGTGTAATTCTCAAATACTCAGTTTTAAAAATAGTGGTATGGTAACACTCTCAGGGAGTTCAGTCAGGAGTTACTTAATTGAACAGGTTAAGAATCACAGTAATAGCGAGTCAAAACTAAGTCCTGTGGCACTCATTCTCTATAAAGTTTCCCTTTAGCACTAAAAATGCTGAATATACTGTAAAAATAAAATGATAATTGTTAATTCTAATATGGTCGTCATTGTATTGTTAACGACAGTCTGCTTGTTGAACATGGATTTAGCATATACTTATTTTCTAGTTGTATCTGCACTTGCCTTTTGACACTGCACTTGCTAGACAAATACAAAGTTGATGGTGGCTTAGTCTTCTGTTTTGTCCAAATATTAAAAAATGCTTTTGTGATGCCTGGCTCAGTGGGTATAGCATGTGTCTCTTTACCTCCCAGTTCGTGAGTTCAAGCCCCACATTGGGTGCAGAGAGAGATTACTTTAAAAAAAAAAAAATGTGTTACAGGGGCACCTGTGTGGCTCAGTTAGCTGGGCATCCCAACTCATGGTTTCAGCTCAGGTCGTAATCTCAGGGTAGTGAGATTGAGCCCCTGTAGGGCTCCATGCTCACTGTCAAGTCTACTTGAGATTCTTTTTCCCTTTCCCTCTGCCCCGCCCGCCCTCCCTCCTCCAGCAAGTGCCTGCAGTCTCTCTAAGATAAATAAATCAATCTTTTTTTTTTTTTTTTTAAGTGTTAGATTTTTCAGGCACCTGGATGGCTCAGTCATGTAAGTGTCTGCTTCGGCTCAGGTCATGATCTCAGAGTCTTAAGATCAAGTCCCACGTTGGGCTCCAGTCCCTCATTGGGCTCCCTGCTCTGCATGGAGCCTGCTTCTCCCTCTCCCTCTACCCCTCCCCCTGTTCATGTTCTCTCTCTCTCTCAAATAAATAAAATCTTTAAAACAAATAAAGTGTTAGATTTTTCTTTAGAAAATATTTTTGAGCCTCCTCCATAAACTAGCTTTCCTAATGCAAAAGTTCCCTTATTCTGTTTTCAATTTGATATTAGTCTATCTCAGCTACATGGTTTACTTTATAGAATTTGAGCCAAAAGAAGGCTTGGAGTTTACTGAAACTAGTCTTATCATTTGACAAAGTAAGAAACTGACAAGGGTGATACTTCATCATTGCCTTAGAAAACATACAGTGCATTTTAACTGGGGTTAAAAGTTATAACCTTGCGGGAGGCCTGGGTGGCTCAGCGGTTGGGCATCTTCCTTTGGCCCAGGGCGTGATCCCAGGATCCGGGATAGAGTCCTGCATCGGGCTCCTTGCAGGGAGTCAGCTTCTCCTCTGCTTGTATCTCTGCCTCTCTGTCTCTGTGTCTCATGAATAAATAAAATCTTTTAAAAAAGTTTATAACCTTGCAACCAAGACATTTTGGGGAATATTGCTTAGTATTGATATATTCTCTTGTTTCTAAAGGTGGGATATGAGCCTCTTCCTCCAACAATAGGACGAAATATTTTTGGGCGGCAAGTATGTCAGCTTCCTGGTCTGTTTTGTTATGGTAAGTGTTTTTGATTTATTTGGAATTTGGAGGATATTGAGGAAGGTGATAGGCAGAAGTTATTGAAAGAAAAGATACCGAAACCATGTTTACGTGAAATTTCTATGTAACCATTTCTTTCAGCTGGAATTTAAATCTCTGACTTGTGTTCTTAGCTCAGCACATTGCAAGCATCGATGGGAAGCGTGGGTTGTTCACAGGCTTAACTCCAAGACTGTGTTCAGGTGTCCTTGGAACTGTGGTCCATGGTAAAGTTTTACAGGTAAGAAAATCAATCTTCCAGAGATTTAGATTATCTTTTATGCAGTTTGTTGTACTGACCAAGAGCAATTTCAGATGTATATTTATGACCATGGCCTTTCTTCCTCTTGAAAACATTGACTTCAAATACCCATTCTTATTTCTTTCCTGGGATACAAGGGGAATTTGTATAAAATGAAGTGATTGATTTTGATCTGCACAGCCTTCTTCCTCTGAACCAGTCATTCTGAACAGAAACACTTACCTTGATCTCCTATATAGCTCATTTTATTTCTTTGAAGGAGGAAGGAAGCTGATTAAAATAGACATATTTCTTTCTGAAGGTATTTTCCTCTTATTTCTAACATTACCCCTAGTAAGATCTTTTCTGATACAAACTTATTTTTTATGTATTTATTTTTAAAAACCTTTTATTTTTTTATTTTTTATTTTTATTTATTTATGATAGTCACACACACACACACAGAGAGAGAGAGAGAGAGAGAGAGAGGCAGAGACATAGGCAGAGGGAGAAGCAGGCTCCATGCAGGGAGCCCGATATGGGATTCGATCCCGGGTCTCCAGGATCGTGCCCTGGGCCAAAGGCAGGCGCTAAACCGCTGCGCCACCCAGGGATCCCTAAAAACCTTTTAAAGTAAGCTCCACTCCCAACATGGGGTTTGAACTCACAACCCTGAGATCACAAGTCACATGCTGTATTGACTTGGGTTTGCTAGGCACCCCAGAAACTTATTAAAAAAAAAAAAAAAAAAACAAGGTAAACATCAAAGTCAAGATAGTGGTTATTTGTGGGGAAAGGGGAGAAGATCCATACATGGGGTTTGGGGGTAATGGAAATGATTTTCCTTGACCTGGATCACGACTGTATGGATATTGATCTTTTAATTATTTATTCCATTGTACATTTGTATCTTGTGCACTGTTTCTGCAAATGTATTATATAAATTTCGGGGGAGAAAGCCTTTTTTTTTTAAACCTCACCAAAATGTGCATCAATCTCAGGCTAGTGGTTACTTCTGGAAAGTGGGAGAAGAAGTGAGGGGTGAAACTTTGGCTCTCTGGATCTGTGGTATTTTGTTTCAAGAAGGCCAGAAATCTGAAGCATAAAGGGCACAATGTTAACATGTTTAACCTTGGTAATGGATATGTAGATGAATTATTTTCTTGATTTTTCTTATGTTTGAAATGTTTCACATGTTTGTTAACACATCAAGGTTACATTTCTTTCTCAGTGATCCTTTTGTTTTGCCGTCTTCTTTTCACCTCAAATGCCAAACCTAATGATTCTGATGGTACTGGTTTCTCAGTTGTACAAATTACCATGTAGGTCAAACAGAATGGCCCCTTATTATATTTATAAAGGTGTTATGAATACAAATTCTGTACCATTTAGAACAGTCCACGGGAAGGTATTTAGCATGAGTGTGGTGGAGAATATAAAACTAGCGGATTTCTAGTTCATTATTCTGTCTCCTACTGGCACCAAGGTATGTTATCCTCTGTGCTTTAACTCAGTAAATGTAGCAGGATGTCCTAATCAAATCTATGTAATATCAACCTACATATCAGATATCCTAAATTCCAAATGTTTACTAACTGCTTAAATAGTACTCAGCACAATCCTTCATTTACTTTGTAGGCTTTAACATTACTTCTAATGTTTTATCATCCGATGAGCACGTCTTGATTTTGTTGAACAGTTTCATGGTCTCATTGGCTTAGATTTTTTTTTTAAGTTTTCATGTGAATTCCAGTTAATTAACATACAGTGTAATAATAGTTTCAGGTGTGCAACATGGTGATTCAGCACTTCTATGCAATACCTGGTGCTCATCGAAAGTGCTCTCCTTAATCCCCATCACCTGTTTCACACCTCCACCTCCCCTCTAGTCACCATCACTGTGTTCTCTCTAGTTAAGGGACTGTTTCTTGGTTTGCCTCCCCCCCTCTCTTTTTTTTCCCCTATGATTGTTTTATTTCTTAAATTCCACATAGGAGTACTAATTGACTTAGATTTTAAATTCTCTTCAACTTTCCTTGATTTTTGAGTTGGAGAGGTTCCTCATTAGGGTCCTCACATGGAAGTTATTTCCCCCTTCAGTTGTTTTGTTATTCTTTACACGTGTTCCTTTTTTTTTTTTTAAAGTAAGCTCTATGTCCAGTGAGGGGATTAAACTCACAAGCCCCATAACCCTGAGAAGGGGAGTTGCATGCTGTACCCACTGAGTCGGCCAGGCGCCCCACTTTATACTTATTCTTGTTGTCCTTGTAGGTTGAATGTGGAAACATGCTGGTGACCCATGGGTCAGAGTAATGGAGTCTTAATGGGCCCATGTTTTTGGTGGGTTGACAACTAGTCTTTTGTCCCCAGCCACACCCTCCCCTGGGCTCAGTGAAAATGTTCCCCTTACCCAAGTAAACTTTACATATGGAAAGGCAGCCGTTTCCTAGTCAGGGGGCTCTATGGCTTTACATATGGACTTAAAGCAAAACTGTAAGTACTGCTTGAAACAATTCCTTCTGAACAGGAAGAGTAAGATAAAGTTGAGTTAACCAGGTTCCCTGAATATGCATTTCACATGTAGCCCAGGGAAAATATAACAAGGGATCGGTACTACACTTAGTATCAAAAGCAGCTTTGTGCGGTCAAGAAGAAAGACCAATTCAGGGTTGGTGAAATTGTTAGCCTTTATAAGAAAGAGTTCTGTGTATCTGAGGAGAATGAAATTGAATTCTGTTCAGAATAATGTAGAAAGGACAGGTAGACAATTTTACTAAAAATGAGTGAGAATTTTTAAATATGCCTGAAACTGAAACTATTAGAATTACTCTAACTGAAGACATGGAATTTGACTCCATCATTTTGCTTAGTCTTGACATTTGTTCTCTTTCTTATGATTTTTTTTTAAATCTTTTTACAAAAGAGGGATCCCTGAGTGGCTCAGTGGGTTTAGCGCCTGCCTTCGGCCCAGAGTGTGATCCTGGAGTCCCAGGATCCAGTCCCACATCGGGCTCCCTGCATGGAGCCTGCTTCTCCCTCTGCCTGTGTCTCTGCCTCTCTCGCTCTCTCTCTGTGTCTCTCATGAATGAATAAATAAAATCTTTAAAAAAAAAAAGCAAGTGTTGTCTTATCTTTTTAATCTGGTAGGACAAGTGGCTTGGTTGCTGCTTATATTTCACTAGCCCATCTTCTATTTCTGAAATACCCCACAAATAATATTTCCTCTTCAAATATAGTCTAAACTCTGGCAGTATCCAGTATTCTAGAAGAGAACAAAATCTCTCTCGCTTGTTTTAGAAACAGATACAAAAGGAAAAGTGAGGCGATTTTAGCTATTGAGACTTGGCACCAATTCTCTGTTGTTTTGTACTGTGAAGGAAAGAGCCTTGCCCTAATTTGGTATTGGTACTACTTTTGTAAGTGAGGTAAAATCACATAACTTTAAGTTTCAGGTGTACAACATTATTATTTGACATATGTATTCATTACAAAGTGATCTTCTGGTTACCATCCATCACCATACATTTGACCCCATCCCCATTTCACCCTTCCTTTCTGGTAACCTGTTCTTTCTGTCTGAGTTGGTTTGGTCTGGTTTATTTGTTTAGATTCCACATGTGAATGAAATCACAGTTTACATCTTTCTCTTTCTACCTTAATTTCATTTAACTTGATACCCTCAAGGTCCACTCGTGTTGTCCCAAATGGCAAGATTTTCTTTTTTAATGGCTGAGCGATATTTCATTTTGTGTGTGTGTGTGTGTGTGTGTGTGTGTGTGTGTGTGTGTATATAATTTCCTTATCCATTCATCCATCAATGGCCATTTTAGGTTGTTTCTATATCTTGGCTATTGTGAATAATTTTGCGTATATTTTATCAAATTAGCGTTCATATTCTTCAGATAGCTAGCCCAGAAGTAGAATAGCTGAATTTTACGATAGTTCTTTTAAATTTTTTTTATTAAGTAAATATGCGCAGTGTGGGGCTTAAACCTCACAACCCCAAGATCGAGTCAAAACGCTCTACCAACTGAGCCAGCCAGCCCCTATGATAGTTTTATCCTGAACTTTTTGAGGAATGTCCAAACTTTTCCACAGTGGCTATACCAGTTTACATTCACATCAACAGTATCGGGGTTCATTTCTCTCCACATCATCTCTAACACTTCTTTCCGACGATACCCAGTTTATTATATATATATATATATATATATGTAATAAACGTTATATATATAATACATATATTTATTTATTATATATTTATATTTATTATATAAATAATATATATTTAATATGTAATTAATTATATTATATATATATATTTTAAAAGATTTTATTTACTTATTCATGAGAGACACAGAGAGAGAGAGAGGCGGAGACACAGGCAGAGGGAGAAGCTGGCTCCATGCAGGGAGCCCGATGTGGGACTCGATCCTGGGTCTCCAGAATCACACCCCGGGCTGGAGGCAGCGCTAAACCGCTGAGCCACCCAGCCTGCCCAGACGATAACCAGTTTCAATGGTGTGAGGTGATATCTCATTGTGGTGTTGGTTTGCATTTTCCCTGATGATGAGTGATGTTGAACATCTTTCCATTTGCCTTTTGGCCATCTGTGTATCTTCTGTGAAGAAATGTATATTCAGATTCTCTGCCCATTTTTTAATCAGGTTGTTTGGTGTTGGTCCTGCTTTTTCATGAAAAAACTCAGGCTTTTTCCATAGCCTTAGTACTAGGCTATGGTTTTACCAGCTTATTTTTGCTAAATGTGTGCATGTAGTAAATAATGCCCTTGGATTTTTATTCGGATTTGTTTTCCTGTTTCTTCTTTTAGATGTGTTTTCATTTGCTCATTCCTCTGGCTGGCTAATGCCTTAAACTTAGCAATGAGATTATCTTAGAGACACTTCTTTCCATTGATTAATTAGAAATAGAAATTATTGGGGACACCTGGGTGGCTCAGTGGTTGAGCATCTGCCTTTGGCTCAGGGCATGATCCTGGAATCCTAGGATCAAGTCCCACATCGGGCTCCTTGCATGGAGCCTGCTTCTACCTCTGCCTGTGTCTCTGCCTCCCTCTCTCTCTGTCTCTCATGAATAAATAAATAAAACCTTAAAAAAAATTATTGGAGATACCCAGCCAAAAAACCCAACATGTTTTATTCTCATTTTATGTCCTCTCCCAGTGACATTGTGACAGCCCTAATCCTCCTTTCTTTTCTTTTCTCTTCTTTGTAGCATTACCAGGAATGTGACAAGGTCGAGGTATGTTGGAGCTGACTTATGCATGAGCCCCTCTCCCTTGCAAGTTATTATTGCTGTGTGGTCCTATTTCGGAGAAAGGGACAAGCACTAGGTGCCTGGGTGGCTCAGTTGGTTAAGCATCTGCCTTCAGTTCAGGTCGTGTCCCAGGGTCCTGAGATCGAGCCCTTCAGCCCTTCAGCAGAGAATCTGCTTCTCCTTATCCCTCTGCGTCTGTCCCTGCTCATGTTCTCTATCTCTTTGTCTCCAATGAATAAATAACATCTTTTAAAAAAAAGAAGGAACAAGCAGTCAATTCCCCTTTCATTTCAGTGAGTGTTGGCATACATGGTGACCACCAGTTTGAACAGTTCTATTTAAAACCATCAAGATAGGAGCATCTGGCTGGCTCAGTGGAGTGTGCAAGTCCTGATCTTGGGGTGGGAAGTTCGAGCCCCACGTCATATGTAGAGATTATTTTTAAAAAATAAAATCTTGGGGCACCTGGGTAGCTCAGTCAGTTAAACATCTGCCTTCAGCTCAGATCAAAATCCCAAGGTCCTAGGATCAAGCCCTTCATTGGACTCCCTGCTCTGTGGGGAGCCTGCTTCTCTCTCTGCCTGCTCTTCCCCCTGCTTGTGCTTGCTCTTTCTCACTCTCACTCGCTTGCTCTCTCAAATAAATAAAATCTTAAAAAAAAAAATCCTTCGAGACGCCCAGGTGTCTTAGTCATTTGAGCGTCTACCTTTGGCTCAGATCATGGTCCCAGGGTTCTAGGATTGAGCCCCACGTCGGGCTCCCTGCTCAGTGGGGAGTCTGCCTCTCCTTCTCCCTCTCCGTCTCCCACTTATGCAGGTGCGCATGCGCTCTCTCTCTTTCTCAAATAATCCTTTAAAAACAAAAGCTTTTTTTAAAAAAATGACAATAATAAATACAGCCATTAAGATATCTATCTTCTTTCATTTTGATGTCTAGGATTTAGGCTCTGGAAATGTACAGAAAGAAGTCACACCTTCCTTCGACCAAGTTATCAAGGAGGTAAGAGACTGATTATTTCCTATGCTCTTTCTCTGAAACACAGTGTATACACTATGGCAGTTTGTGAAATCAGGATTATCAGGCCTGTATGTTCAGTGTTTATTCCAAATGAAATTAGACCTTCAATTTAATTTAGGCTTTTCTACATGTATATCGTAAAAAAGAGAAAAAAAGCATTGCTTGCTATTTGAATTAGATGCATTTCTTTTTTTTTTTAATTTTTTATTTATTTATGATAGTCACAGAGAGAGAGAGAGAGAGAGAGAGAGAGAGGCAGAGACATAGGCAGAGGGAGAAGCAGGCTCCATGCACCGGGAGCCCGATGTGGGATTCGATCCCGGGTTTCCAGGATCGCGCCCTGGGCCAAAGGCAGGCGCTAAACCGCTGCGCCACCCAGGGATCCCTGAATTAGATGCATTTCAAGGAAACTAATTTTGTCCAGTCATCTTTAAAATCAAAGAGGTTGGGACGCCTGGGTGGCTCAGCGGTTTGCGCGTCTGCCTTCGGCTTAGGACGTGATCCCAGAGTTCCGAGATCGAGTCCCACATCAGGCTCCTGCATGGAGCTTGCTTCTCCTTCTGCCTGTGTCTCTGCTTCTCTCTGTGTCTCTCATGTATAAATAAATCTTAAAAAAAAATTTTTTTTAAGAAATAAAATTGAAGAGGTTTCTACTGAAAGTATTCTTCCAATAGGGGTATAGACCTCTGGCACAGTTGTGCTAAACCAGTGGCTAGGCCCTTTGTGTGTTGTATATTACCTATCAGGAGATGTTCTTATAGCATTCTTCTGACCCGTAATTGTTGCTCATACCCATTTCCCACTCCCTTCTTATGCCATTGGAGTTTGTTTCATGCCTGACTTCATATTTATGGCTTTCAAAGCTGCTCTTTTATTTCTTTTTAAAATCTTTTTTTTTTTTAATTTTATTTATTTATGATAGGCACACAGTGAGAGAGAGAGAGAGAGGCAGAGACATAGGTAGAGGGAGAAGCAGGCTCCATGCACCGAGAGCCCGACGTGGGATTCGATCCCGGGTCTCCAGGATCGCGCCCCGGGCCAAAGGCAGGCGCCAAACCGCTGCGCCACCCAGGGATCCCTGCTCTTTTATTTCTTAGTCTCTACATTGTCTAATTGTCTTTAGTGAGATCACAGTCTTGTAGTAGATGCTGCTTTCTAAAATATACCTTTCAAAAGAAGCAGGTCTAGATGTCAAATGAATCAACTGTTTTCTGTCAATTTTCTACTTTAATAAAAAAGTAGAGCTATGAAATGCCTGGGTGGCTCAGTGGTTGAGCGTCTGCCTTTGGCTTGGGGCGTGATCCTGGAGTCCCAGGATCGAGTCCCACATCAGGCTTCCTGCATGAAGCCTGCTTCTCCCTCTGCTATGTATCTGCCTCTCTCTCTGTGTGTGTCTCTCATGAATAAATAAATAAAATCTTAAAAAAAAAAAAGAAAGAGTAGAGTTATATGTATTAATATGTTTTCTTAACTTTAATTACCCCATCCTGTCCTATGGGCTCTTCTCAAGACTATCATCGGCATGGGGTTAGGGATGTCTTAACTAGATGATTGAGGATAATGTTTAAATGCATAAATGGATAATTGACCTGCTGTATTCACAACCTACCTCCCAAATGTTGAATATTTAATTTTCTTTGCTACTTCTTTACAGAGTCCTGAACAAGAGAGAAACTAAGATAAATAGCAGCTCTAAGATACTTCACAGTTACGGGGTTGTGGTGGAAAAACAATTCAAAGTTGTTTTGTTGGCACAGATTAAACAAACAGAGCCTGACATTTGTATAACGTAGATATCAGAATCTGAAATAGTTCACAGCAAGAAAGCAACTTAAAAATCTAACAGGAAAAAAATCTAACAGGTCTCATAGTTTCATTCCAACTTGGTTATTGTTTGCTAGTGACTCTCCTCTGTTTTTTTTTTTTTTTTTTTTGGTTTTTTTTTTCAATCTATAAAATTGAGAAGATAAACAGAAATCTGCTTTGCGCATCAATTTTGAGAAATAACCATAACCGAAATCTGTGAGTTAAAGGTATGAGAGGATGACAGTGTATTTTATTGTATCACATTTATCACATTCAGGGTAGGAGTGCTGTGTCACCCACATCACTTCTCACAGGAATTTGAGTGTCATTTGTTTAGATTTCAGAAGTATGTGTTGATTGTTTCTAGACAACTCGAGAAATGATGGCCCGTTCCGCTGCTACCCTCATCACACATCCCTTCCACGGTAGGTTTGCAGTTGGTAACTGAAATCTGATTTGTTACCTTACTTTTCATAGTAAGTAAGCTCCCCTGACAGCTTAGATAGGTTGGTACGGGAATTCACTAAAGAGCCTTGCCTGCATGTTTTTTTGTTTGCTTGCTTGTTTTGGCATTTATCCAGCTTATCCAGAGACCAAAGTGTCTTTAGATGGAAAAACCTTTTTTCTTTTTCAGGGCTATCAAAATTTATCTCGACGTAGTTTTTAAAAATCTTTTCTCTATGTTCTGCAGTGATCACACTGAGATCTATGGTTCAATTCATTGGCAGAGAATCCAAGTACTGGTAAGTGTTTTTGTTTTCAAAGAGATCTATTGAAAAAAACAAACAAACAAACAAAACAAAGAGATCTATTGAAGTGCCTTACATTTTTATGGTTCCTTAAGAGTTAACAGAACAAAATGATCTATCATTTGATCTGTGCAAAAGTGAACAAACAAAAAATGGTAAAATAGAAGAAAATGGCCCAGACAGATTTAAGAGCTTATTACCCAGGATCTCAAGAGTAAGTTGGAGAGCCACTGAAGCCAAAATTCACCCTGACTCCATGTGACTACACCCTTAGGTAGTAATACCTCCACTTCTGTCTCCAAATTCAGCTATCTTTGCAGAGTGTAAGTGGCAGAAAAGGGAGAGGGATATAAATTTCCTTGTCAAAAGTGATAATAAGAACTTTTTTTTTTTACTAGCTCCAAAATAATCCTCATGTATTTTTGCTTTTCCATCTTTTATACCTAGTGGACTTTATGACTCCATAGTAACCATCTATCGCGAAGAGGGCATCCTAGGATTTTTTGCGTAAGTAAATTGTTGATTTACGTATGCAGTTATTTGTGGGAGTGGAAAGCTTTAATGAGAATCGGGCACAACTCCTTGCTTAACTTCTATTAAAGCTCCTTTAAAAAAAAAAAAAGACTTTATTTATTTATGAGAGACACACAGAGAGAGTGAGAGAGAGAGAGGCAGAGACACAGGCAGAGGGACAAGCAGGCTCCATGCAGGGAGCCTGACGTGTGGGACTCAATCCCAGGACCCCAGGATCACGCCCTGGGCTGAAGGGGGTGCTAAACCGCTGAGCCCCAGGCTGCCCTATTAAAGCTCTTCTTATTTTATTTTTTTATTTTTTTTATTTTTTTATTTTATTTTATTTATTTTTTATTTATTATTTATTTATTTATTTATTATTTTATTTTTTTTAAAGCTCCTCTTACTTTAATTCTCTCATAAAGATCCCAAAATTTTGCTTGTGGGTATCTAAAACATTGGAAATTAGTGTTTTGTTTGGGAGTTTTTGTTTTGTTCAATTCCGTTAAAATTTTGTTAAATTAATTCTAAGTTTCTGGGATCCCTGGGTGGCTCAGCGGTTTGGTGTCTGCCTTTGGCTCAGGGCATGATCCTGAAGACCCGGGATCAAGTCCCACATCAGGCTCCCTGCATGGAGCCTGCTTCTCCCTCTGCCTATGTCTCTGCTTCTCTCTCTCTGTGTCTCTTATGAATGAATAAATAAATAAAATCTTTAAAAAAAATTAATTCTAAGTTTCTAGCTTTATAATAAGTTCCTAATGATGTACAGTTGATAAACTGGGGAAACTTAGTTTTTGAAAAATGGGAAAATTCTCTTCCTTAGCCTGAGAGTAATACATTTTTGTAAGGCTGTATTCGTTCCCTTGGGTTTCCTTTGGAAGAACTTAGACTACCATCTCATTCTTTTATTAACAACAGAAATTATTGAATTTAAATAAAATATTAATTAATTAATTTTCACAGTGTTTCCAAGTAACCGTTTTTATTTGCGTGTCATAGCGTGGGAGGGGGCACCTGGGTCACTCAGTTGGTAGACCATGTAGCTCTTGATCTCAGGATTGTGAGTTCAAGCCCTACATTGGGTGTGGAGGCTATTCTTATTTTAGAGATTAGAAAAAGTTAGTGTTCTGCAAAGTTCATTTGCTGCCAGTCATGCACCTGTAAGTGGCATTTGAACCCGGTCTCTGGTCTGTGGGGTGATTTCATCCTTCTGCTCCATGCTGCCTCACCAAGGCCACTCAGGCCCTGGGAATATGGTTTTTGGTGTCCCTTACTTCTCTCTTTTTGGGCCATTCCTGTTTTGTAATTTTGTTGTCATTTTCAGCGTTGTCAAATTTGAATATCATGTAGCTTAGCTAAAATCGTATTTGAGTCTCTTCTCCAAACCCGGAACATTTTTGTTCCCCTCCTCATATTAATAGTAAGGTGAGCCACTGGGTGTAGTAGCTTTGAGGGGTGTAGCCAGCCTGCATTTGAAAAATGGGAACGGAAGTCATTACAGATTAATCTCAAATACAGTTAATTAACATGAACTAGTTAGGGCTAGCTTCTGGCAGTGTCTTCTCAGTTCTCTAGAAGACTGAAATCTCTCTTTGAGAAGTGTTTGTATTGAGTAGATTATCTCTTCACTGATCACGTTTCTTGGTTCTTCTTTTTTTTATTGTTTCTTCATGTAGGGGTCTTATTCCTCGCCTCCTAGGTGACATCATTTCTTTGTGGCTCTGTAACTCACTGGCCTACCTCGTCAATACCTATGCACTGGACAGTGGGGTAGGTTGTGATCTTGATAATATGTACTGGTGCTGACTTTATTGTTTTCACAGGGCAGCTTGGTTAGCTTTAAAGTAAGGTGGTTGGGGTGCCTGGCTGGCTCAGTCAGTAGAGCATGTGACTCTTCAACTCAGGATTGTGAGTTCAAGCCCCAGGTTCAGTATAGAACCTTCTTAAAAACAAAAAAAGAGGATAAAGTGGCACTTTGTTACAATTTGCCGTACTCATCGATATATGGCTAAACATTATCAGTCAAGTTTTTAAAGGCTCATGGGATGGCCTATACTATTTACCATAGAAAGATGCACCTAAAATTTCCCTAGAGTGTATGAGTAAGCCTAAGAAATCTAGCCCTTTCTCTGTGCTGGAGATCGCATCTGTAATTTTCAAGGACACTGTGAAGGGAGACAGTTTTATAGCATAGCAAGGGTATATTTCACCTCATCTGTAGTGTTAAAGGGACTCCTGGTTTGGGCTTTTTAGAAACCTCAGCCTAGGAGGTTTTGAGAATTGGCCTTCCCTGGAAGCTGTGGGCTTCTCTATACACAGGCAGCCCTATAGCATGATGGGAAATAGAACACACAGAGGGAGGACTGAACCCACGCTGTGTCCCTATAGAGTACGGAGACTGGTCTCTTCAGCATCTGGAACACAGGAACACAGCTGGGCACATATCCCTCAGATAACACTACAACTGTCATTTCCAAGGATTGGGTTTCTAGGACTTGGGGAAAGGTTACCAGTCTCACTGCCCTTTTTTTTTTTTTTTTTTTTTTTAAATTCTGGGGCTATTACATTTGTTCCTCAGCCATCATAGTCATGTGAATTTGTCTCCTCATGTTGAATCAAGTTGATCATTTTGTCCACTCCCTTTTTATACTCATTGGTATTTTATGTTTTCATCTCAAAATTAATTTTTGGGCTATCAGAGAAACTAAAAATTTAAAGATAGAATATATATTGATGTGGTTGGTGGCAGTTCGCTGTTAACATCATCTTACTTTTTTTTTTTACTTATTCTAATAAAGGTTTTCTTCCTGTTTTAGGTTTCTACCATGAGTGAGATGAAGAGTTATTCCCAAGCTGTCACAGGAGTGAGTTTTTCTTTAAATCCTCTTAACCTTCTAGGAATAGTTGTGTTTTGTTTTGTTTTCTTTTAAATTTTACTTGGGTCATGTGTCATCACTACTTCAAAGCAACCAGGTGATGTCTCCCAGGAGAGTCTCCTAAGTTTATTAATGTTTGTCATAGGTGAGAATAACCCAGTGTCCCTGTGTCACAGGAACGGCACAGACAAGCCCACATGGTTTGGTCTGTTCAGCTTTTGTTGGGCATGTGGGCGTTTCTCACCACAGCTGTGCCCCCAAGTCTTAGGCCTGCTTCCCACCGCACCCTGCTGGTCCTGCCCCGAAGAGCTTCACCCTCTTGAGTCATGCAGAGTCTTCCAGTAGTTAACTTCTGAGGCAGCTTCCATCATCTTTGGAAGGACACTCACATTTTCTTACTGTTTCCAGGGTTTTTTTTTTTTTTTTTTAAATGCTTTGTTGTATTTAATTGCATTTACTTTTTCTCTTAAATAATGTGGTTCGGTTTACTGGAAAGAAACCTCAGTCACAACAAGAAAAGCCTTCTGGCCTTTTATTAAATTGTTGGATGCAGCAGTATGTTAGGAGGAGGCATCCAGGTTCAAAAATGTGTAATTTCATTTTTCCTGGGTTGCTGAGAAAGCAAAGCCAGTGTTGGAGTATTGACCACAATGGCACTAGAACTTTAAGGGAGAAGAAAGAAGAAACTAAAGATGCAGAATGACCTAATAACTTAGCTGTCTTTTTACCACTTTACAGTTTTTTGCCAGTATGTTGACCTATCCCTTTGTGCTTGTCTCTAATCTTATGGCTGTCAACAACTGTGGGTAAGTGCCTTGCATTTCCTATGCTGGTAGTTGGCTGCCTGTGTATGTCTGACAGGCAGAGCAGTCCAGGAAAGAGTTTTGGGGAAGAAAAGTACAATTGGTGCCATTACTAGGTTTCCTAAATGTTTTCTCTATGTGCTCCATGCAGCAGCAATGGCATCAATTTGTATTATAAGCAGCCACTTCATATCCTCTTAGAGAGGGCCATAAAGGCTATTTCTCAAGTACTTACAGATAGCATACACTTACCTATAGTTTAGGTCCTATTCTGGAAAGGCAGGATTGTGATTAAATTACTCTATTTACACATCTATCCTTTATTTTAAACCTATGTCCTTTTTATGAAAGTTACAAAGGTTATGTCATGGATTGAATGGCGGCCTGTATACACTGTTTTTCCTAGAAGGCCCATAGAAAAAATAAGTCTTAAAGATAGAAAATTTAGGAAATTTAGGTCCATAAAAAGTTTCTCTTTTTCTTTTTTCTCACAGAAAGTTTCTTAACCTTTGACTGTATTGGTTGGGAAGGGTGGGTGGTGATCTGGTGGCGGACATCACTGACTTCCAGCTTCTAGATGCCAAGTGCCTGCGCCACATTGGGCAGAAATCTTGTCTTGTGTTTAATTCCAGACTGTTCCAGTACAGTCCCTGACACAGCCATTAGACTTGTTTTCAAACAAAATGTTAATTAGAATTAGCCCCTGTGGAGTTTTGAAGATAGCTATCATATTTGATGTCATGTCTCATTCTTTTTGTTTTGTGATCTATAGAGCAGCGGCCACATTTTAGCCCAAGACACACTTTAAGGATGAGTTGAATGTCATACTATTCCTTAGAAATTTTTTAGGGAGTAAGTGATTATGGGTTATACCTGTGTAAGGCATGTAGTCTCCACAGTTTGTTTTTTTAAGGATTTTATTTATTCATGAGAGACACAGAGAGAGGCAGAGACACAGGCAGAGGGAGAAGCAGGCTCCATGCAGGGAGCCCGATGTGGGACTCAATCCTGGGACTCCAGGATCACGCCCCAAGCCAAAGGCAGACGCTCAACCACTGAGTCACCCAGGCACCCGTCACCATAGTTTAGATGCATTATTGTTCTATTTAGGTTCTTTTGAACACCATCTAATTTTTAAATCCCTTTTCCCTGCATTTTAATTATATAATTGCTAGGTTCTGAATTGTATTCATCCTCAAATTAAAAACCCAGATTTAGAAAATCCATAACTGGTTGGAGTTTCTGTTTACTTGCTGTTTCAAACCTAAACATGAGGGGCACCTGGTTGGCTTAGTCGGGGGAGCACGGAACTCTTGATATCGGGGTTGTGAGTTCAAGCCCCACATTGGGTGTAGAGATTACTTAAAAATTTTTTAAAAAGGGCAGCCCGGTGGCTCAGCGGTTTGGCGCCGCCTTCGGCCCAGGGCATAACCCTGGAGACCTGGGATCGAGTCCCACGTCGAGCTCCCTGCGTGGGGCCTGCTTCTCCCTCTGCCTGGGCCTCTGCCTCTCTCTCACTCTTTCTCTCTCTGTGTCTCTCATTAATAAACAAATGAAAATACACTTTAAAAAAAAATCATTAAAAAAATCATAAAAAAAAAAGCACCTAAATATGAGGAAGGGAAATCCTTTTTGGATGCTTGTTCTTTTCCCTGCTCCGATATAATTGTTCCATTGGAACTAAAATTGCCTCTTGGGGAGCTTTCTAGGTAGGAGAATATTTTGACAGAGATTTATGGAACTCTTGAGAGAAAGCTTTGGAAACATTAATTGGAATAGCTAATCTTTTTTCCCCCCTGCTGTTTCAGGCTTGCTGGTGGATCCCCTCCTTACTCCCCAATATATACTTCTTGGATAGATTGCTGGTGCATGCTACAAAAAGAGGTACTTCTGTCTCAGTCTCTCTCTCTCTCTCTCCCTCTCCATTCCTCCCTCCCCCTTCACTCCTCCTCTCTCTCATACTTGATTTTATCTTGTTTGTGTTTTCTTAAACAACATCTCTGGAATCCCGAGTTAATTTTTGTAGATTACTCTCTAGCTACCAGTCACTGTACCCTTTACAGTGTTCTGTGTGTCACAGTTGTAGAATGTGCTGCTTAGAAGTCATCAGGAGTAGTAATGAATTAAGAAGCCCTAGATGTGATCTAGAAGCTTCTTGACCGATCACATTCAAGTTACAAATAGGGTCTGGGTAGACAGTTACCCTGCTTGTTAAAATGATGGCCGCAATGTCAGGTTATTTTTTTTTCTAATCTCACCTTTTTGTAACTTCTCAGAATCGCCTTATATATTCATGTGTTTCCCTAGAGTATAGTAGAGAGGAAACTGAGAAATAGGAAGTTGTTTGTTTATGACATTGTCACAGTGATGATGATGGAGCTGGTCTCTTACTTTTAATTTTTTTAGAGAACGATCTTGTCCAGACTCCAGTTTCTTCTTATTATTGCTGTGAGGTATGTCATCTGCAACCAGAAATTCTCAGTCTAGATAAAGCTTTATTAGGAACCTAAATAATGGGTGGCTGTGTGCTAAATTCAGCACAGGATCACTTTAAATGGCTAGCAGCTTAAAGCTGCTTTTAAGTGGGAAGCACTTTTTCAAGGATTGTAAAAGTGTATAAGGAATCCCTTTGTCACATTATAGCACTAGTAATGCATGTGAGAAAGGCCTCTGTTCACAGCCCAGGCTTCCTCAGCCTGAACTCCAAATAAAAAAGCCTAAGTGCTGTTTTTGCTCAGCATACATGCCAGGCCAGCAGGCCCCTATGTGAATCCAGGATAGAACACTTGAGTGATTTCCATACAGACCCACCATGAACATTCTGGGTTTCATTCTGAGTCTTACACTCTCTATTGGGGAATCTCCTGTGGTGTTCCCCTTTTAAAAGGAAAAGTGGCCCTTCTTTCCCTACTTTCTAACTAACCCCCTACTGTAGAAAGAAAGATAGAAAATGTATTAGGGTATCAGACACCTTACCTAGGGAGTAATCAGTCCCCTAAATGCTTAGGACAATAGCAAATCTGGATGGGGTATTTACCACGTATCAGGCATTGTGCTGAGAGCTTCGCATGTATCAGCTCTTATAATCCTCAAAATAACCATATGAGGTTAGGTACCATTCTTTTTGTCCCACTTCACATCTGAAGAAACTAGGACTTTGAACCATTAAATAACACGAATTATATAACCCAGTGTTACACAGCCTGTATTTGTGAGAGCAGGATCTATGTGCAATCTCACTTCAGAGTCTGTTCAATTAAGCTTAATAACATTATGACCTAATTGTGAGATTCTATTATACTTCCTAGAGATCTGACCATTCTGGGTGAAAGCTAGCCCTTAGTGAGCCATGGGACTGTCTCAGCACTTTATATGATTGACTCATTTGATAACTCAGCCAGAGTCCAAACTGGGAGTTCTCTCTAAGCAAGTGAGATGCTTGCCTCATCCCCATGGCACACCTGTAGTTTCACGAAGCTTTGTCGCAGTTGGAGTGCATAGTGCTTCTCCCTAGTGAGAGCCCTGGGCGAGTCCTGGCCCTTTCAGTGGGTCTCTAGAAATATGTCCGGTTGCATCTCTCTGCTGATTTGGACTGGCTGACCTTGTGTTCACACTAGACTTTTATTTGTTTCTATTTTATTTTTTTTCCAGGGAAATATGAGCCGAGGAAATAGCTTGTTTTTCCGGAAGGTCCCCTTTGGGAAGACTTATTGTTGTGACCTGAGAATGTTAATTTGAAGATGTGGGGCAGGGACAGTGACATTTCTATAGTCCCAGATGCACAGAATTATGGGAGAGAATGTTGATTTCTATACAGTGTGGCGCGCTTTTTTTAATAATCATTTAATCTTGGGAAAATGGAGGTGTTCGGTGTCTGCCTTTTTTGTTCTTTTTCCCAGCATTACATAATTTACTACTGATAGTCCCCTTCTGTTATTCTGAAACGGGACGTTTTTGCTTCAGAGTCCTTATTTAAACAGGGAAGAAAAAAAAAAGTTGCATTTTACAGAGGTATAGGCAGGTTGTCATGTGATTTGAATCTTAATTTTAAGGCTTTGTAAAATTGTAAGGCTTTCTCAAGAAAGAAAGAATTCCATAAAACTTAAGAAATATAATAAGGTAAATTACATGGGAGATTATTAATTACCTTTCTTTAGTAGACCCTAAAGCCTCAGCATCCATCAGAATCTGCCTCCCATTAAATGCTTCTAAGCACGTTTGATTAACTCTGTCTCTCATCCTTCAAAAAAAAAAAAAAGAATCTATTGCTAAATGACCCTGGAAAAATCTCTCCACTGGGTATCCTCTCCTTCAGTCTCTTACTGCAAAGTAACAAATTGTTGCCAACAACAAAAACAAAGGGAAAATTACAGAGAACAAGCAAGATTTGGAAAGGAAGCCATAATGGCTTCCCTCCCTCCCACCCGGCGACCTCGCAAAAGAAACTCTTGTTGTAAAAATATGAGAAGCAAAATTGTAGCAGTAGCCTCTTCTGTAAGAGTGAAGTCTTTGTATATCAGATTTTCTGTACAGATTATCATTTTATAATCTTTTCTTCAGTTTTTAATTTTCGTTTTTGTTGTTGCAGAAGGTGAGTAATTTGCTTTTCCTTCCTACCTGGTAATGCACACTTAGATCCATAGGGCACTTAGGATATTGACCACCTCGCATGTCATACTCTCAGTTAGGCATGTTAGCATTCATAGGAGAAAAAAATACCATTTTAGAGGGAAATAATTTCAACTCAAGCATAAAGCTCCTATTTACTCAGGCCTTTTTAAAGCAGGTTCAAATGCTCTAGGATGAGAAAGCATATGGTTTCACTAATTTAATCCACTGGGATGTTGCCAAATGAGTAAGCACTTAATTTGCTGCTTCTCAGACTTCTCTATCAAAAGAGCAGCGCCCATAATATTAGAGTGAGCATTCAGGGGTCTCCTCTCTCCCTCAGGGTTTAGGAATACAGCCTGAAGCTCATGAGAAGCCTACCTTGAAATGTCTTTGATGTCTCTTACTTTGTCTCAAAAAGTAATGTAAATTTTATATTTTATTCAATATTATCTGCATTTGTTTTAATATAAAAATGTTTTGCATTACCCACTTTCCCCCCCCCCCCAAAAAAAACCTTCAGTAAAGATGATCTAGGAAAATGTGCCATGTTTATTATCCTGTGGCTTCTGTGCTTTTTCCTAGTTGAGAAGCTTAGTGGACTATAAGCACCATCTGCCACCAGAGGGCACCAGGGCTTTGGTTTTGCCTGTGCAAGTTGGGCCATGAAGGATTTTAGGAAGTAGTGTCCAGTGAGTCTGACTTCCTCCAAGCTACAGATCCAGTAAGGGTACTTACACCAGTGGTCCTCCATAAAATTACATAGACTGTTAGCGGTCAAACATCTAAAATTTATTCAAGGGTTAAACACATGCAGGGACTCTTAAGATTCACCTGCAAAAATAATAAACAGATTCCTGTGTAAATAAGAACTGAGATAAGGATCATCTTGTAAGTTGCATCTGTGAAACTGGGTGGGTGGTTTGCCCTGGCAGTGCTGAGGTGAGTTGCCAAGAAATAATCCCCCAGGAAGTGTGATGGTCATTGAAGCCTTGATTGAAGAAAAGAATCTGGGGGTTTCCTACAACTTTTGGAGTGACTATAAAAATAGCAGGGCATAAAAGCATCCTTAGGGTGAAAGAAACTTTAAACATAGCCCTATATGGGGCACCTGGGTGGCTTAGTCGGTTAAGATCTGACTCTTGATCTCAGCTCAGGTCTTTTTTTTTTTTTAATTAATTAATTTATTTATTTTTTTCAGCTCAGGTCTTGATCCCAGGGTCATGAGTTTGAGGCCCAGAATGGGCTCCACGCTGTGCGTAGAGCCTGCTTAAAAAACAAAAAACATAGCCCCACGTTCCAGCTTCTTACCGAACCTAAACACAACCTCGGTTTCTATAGTTTTCTACTCTAAAAATACCCTCCTTTTTCCCTCTCTGCATTGAGATTGTCCCTGTACGGTGAGATTCCATCCTAGTATATAGTCTCTCAGTCCTCCCAGCCAGGTGAGGTCGACTTCTAAACTCCTCTCCTTCAAGGCTTGTAATTACAGTACAAACTAGTCTGACAAAATGGAAACTGCATCTGTTACTCAGTGCTAAGTTCTGACACAGCAGTAGCATTACTTCTCTCTGATCTGAAAATCAGGGTGGGGTGAGGTCGGGGTGAAAATCCTATTTAGCCCTTTAAAGCAGGCCCACCAAAACGGCAGCTTTGCTGGACTTAGAAAAAGTAGCCTGTCCTGTCGGAGTCCATGCAGTTGGTCAGGTGAAGGTGCCGTGGCAGGTTAAGGGAGCAAGAAGAAAAAAAACATTGGGAAGGAATGAAAGTAATGACTATTGAGCCTGTTGTGTAAGTTTTAATTCTCGGAATCTGTGGTAGAGTAGGTATCCCCACTTCAGAAGGAAAGAAAAAATTTAGGAATAAGGAAAATTAGTAACTCATTCAGAATTACATAAATAATTCCAAATTGGATTCACACCTGAGCCTTTTGAATCCAAGGTATGTTTTCTGCTTTACGGAGGCTGTGAAATGCTGAGAAGAAAGTAGCTATGGGACCAGCTAAGTAATTCAGCCATGTACGCAAAAAGGCCCTGCATTTTAGTCAAAGCAGTGAAACCAACAAATATGCTGCCCAGAGTAGAGTAGACTGGTCTTAAATCAGGAAAGACCACGCCTCTGCCTCTGCAGAACCAGAGAGGTAAAGCAGCCGAGAGTTGATGATCGCCATTGCTTTTCTTGACCATTTTGATAGTTTATGCAGATGGAAGGCTGAGTTATTGTATCCTGCGGATCCCTAGGAACACCATCAGTCCATGTGTGTGGACTTGCCACTACATTTGGGGGATTGCAGTTCTTGAAAGTGATTGATGTGTCAATTCCTCTGGTGGATTCTTCTAGAACATTCTTTTTTTTTTTCTTTTTTTTTTTTCTTCTAGAACATTCTTGTATATTGACTGGGTTCATTCAGACTGCCTCCTTTTTTTTTTTTTTTTCTTTTTTTTTCCAGACTGCCTCCTTAAGTGTACCATAGTGATATATATCTTTGGAAGTTTTTGTCTTTTAGATATAAACAAAGACGTGTGTTTTATCTCTTTGCAAAGATTTTTAGGCTTACCTAAGGATGTCACATGTAACCTCTCATTTTTTTCTCCCTCTACCAATCCCTCATCTTACTGTCTTCAGATGAGTCTTGCATTCCAGTTTTTGTCTTGGAAACTTGTGAATGAAAGATTCTTCTGTCACCAACCAAAAAATACCCCCTTTCAGGAAAATATCTTTGGTAATAGCGATTAATTTTCTAGGGCAACTGCGACTGTTTTCCTTCCAACCACCTCTGTGTGTGAGAATCAGCTTCCTTATCTGTTTGCTGGAGAAGGCCCCCTAGCAATGCATGTGTTCAGCCTCCCCAGCAGGCGCTGCTAGTTCGCCACCATTGCATGGCTAGGAGACAGAATCTGGCCCATTTGTCCTTCGTCTTGTAAGTGGATTCGATTCCTCTGTAGTCCAGACCCCAAATGTCCTGGGGACCAGTTAGGCAGATTTTGCATTAAAACCACAACTGGGGCAGCCCAGGTGACTCAGTGTTTTAGTGCCACCTTGAGCCCAGTGCCTGATCCTGGGGACCCGGGATCGAGTCCCATGTCAGGCTCCCTGCATGGAGCCTGCTTCTCCCTCTGCCTGTGTCTCTGCCTCTCTCTCTCTCATCTCTCATGAATAAATAAAATCTTAAAAAAAAAAACACAACTGTTCTGGAATCGACATACTGCAACCCTGAAAAACAATGTTCTCAGATAGATGCAGATCAGTAGCAAACACCAAAATGTGGGAGAACAAACAGTTCTTCAGAGGGTGGCAAGGGAAAGAGGGAGAGAAACAGAAATAGGACCCAGAGGTGCTCTTCAAGATTCGCCACCTTCCTGAGAGGGAGAGCAAGTAACGAAACCAGCCTTGCCCTTCCCAAAGTCTGCAATATGACAATGGGTAAGAGTTTTCTAGCAGCACCAGCTCCTTCCTTGCTCAGGCAGCCAGAAGAATGGATTCTTCTCTGGTAATGCCACATTTTCACAGAAAAGCTATTAGGTTTTGCAGTTTATTTCCAGAGTAGCATAAGGAGCCAGAGGTTAGGTAAGGACAAGAGAGAAAGTACCTACTTGCTTCCTAGCCAGTCTGGGGCCCTGCCCTCCTGGCGTCAAAAGACTGGAGAGAATGTGCTTTGGCTGAAAGCGAAGGAGGGTGAAAACTGAAAGAACAGCCGCACCTAACTTCAGACGGCTCACCTCCCCCTGGAACACAGTTCCAGTGCCGGTGTGTCCCCCCTCCCCCAGGGACCCACATTTAGAGTTTGGGAAGGCAGCGCCCTGATTATCAAGGGCTCAGCCTGTGCACGGACCTATGCTGGAGGCAGCGGGGGTCCAGAGGCGTGTGATAAATCCGTCCCAGGCGCTGGCTGGGCAGTGAGGGAGGGGTGCCGCATGGCAAGGACGGAAAGGCCAGGAATGTTGGGAGGATTAAGTGGAACCATGTGTGGAACAGCAAAGCCTAGTCGGTTGGAAGGGCCCTCCCAAATCTCCGCACTCACTGGTGGCGTGTACAGAGCAGCGGGCACCAGCAGAAGCTGAAGCCACGCTCACATCTTCAGGGGAGCTCAGGCAAGACTTTATGAAAGAGTATAATTTGAGTGTTTTTTTGTTTTTAAGGAGAGTGAGGCTCCTGAGAGCAATTTCCCATGCTGTCACTTAGCAGCCCCACCAACTTGGGCGAGTTGCTTGACTGAAGCCCCGAGCTCCTCATCCCTAAAAGGAGAATACTAGCTCTCTTGTGGTGAGTGTTAAGGTTAGAGCAGTGCCTGAGGGAGTACCTTTGGAATTGAGAGTTGCTATTTAATTCGAAGGGGGGAAGGGTACTTTAGGAATATAGACCGCACAGATGAGGTCACAGGCCCGAGTGTCCTGACCTGTCCCCAGCACTGCGCTTCTGCCTCAGAAGGAGCACCCAGAACGGGACCTAACACGTGGCACTTACTAAGCCTTTGTGGACTGACTGGACCTGAGGACCTGGAGGATTCTCGGACAGGTAGATCTCAGCCCCTCCGTCCCCAGGCCTGCCGTGGTGGTACATGTATATGCAAAGGTGACCAAACCCCTCATGGTGGCCCTGTTTCCCCTGACTACATACC